CTCACAAGATGCCTGACAACATACCCATCCTCAGAAGGGCGCTGATATTTCAGAGATAAATGCACAGATATCACCCAGCTGAGTGCAGGTGTGCATCCTTCTGCACGGCCACGACAGCGACGCAGAGGGCTGTGCTGTGTGTTAAGAGTGCAATCAGGGCAACAATTAGAACTTCAAGTTAAAGAATCTGAAAGGCAGGAATACATCAGGCAGCTTATGGAGAACATTACGGGGAAAGTATTTGGACAAGAATCAACTTGCATAGGAAATTCATCAGTCACATCCAGAAGCAGAGATGCACGATTGCTTTGACAACCCCTGTTCATTATGCAGGCTGAGGAATCAGGCCATGAACGCACTGTATGTACAGCACACATCTCTGCAAGGAAAACATCATCTATTAAACATGCACACAAGTTGTTTTTTCTTCATTTGCACCTGTACCTTCATTTAATTGGCCCAGAAAACTAACCCACTTTCAATAGCTCCCACGCACCCCTTCTCACCACTGGATCCACAACCACTGTATGAAGGCCTGGCAATTTCATACACAGATTTGCAACTCTCAGTGTGCATTTACACAACTAAAGCTAATTGAAATCAGAGAGGCTTTTCAATGTCAGATCTCCCTCCTGCTCCCATCACACTGCACAACAAGCTGTCTAAGACTCAAAAAAATTAAGCCTAGAGCCAGAGCTTTCAGGTGTTGCTTAGGAGCAAAATTGGGAAGCTGGTGCTTTCAGCATTTCCTTTGACTTGGGGCAAACAACTGTACCTTTATCTTGGCTTTTCTGTTGGTGATTTCATGGTGGAGATGGGGGATAGCCAAGGATGGCTCTCATAGACCTGTAGTGAATGCATACCCGAAACAGCCCACAACAATCCAAAACACCTAAGTGTCTGCAGGCCAGCCTTTTCCTTAGAGCAGCCCACCTCATCAGGGCAAACACAGACTGACATTCACCTCTATATCACAGGAGCAAGGAGGAAGATTTGCATTCCTCCAAGTTGTGCCTGCAAGTTGAATTTATTCCCAACAGAATCACATTTCTGTGCCCATCTTCAAACCAGTCTTCCCACCTTAGCCCTTATACTTATGCCCTCAGTGTGCGTCAGAGGCAGCCACTGGCACTTCTCAAAAGACTTCACACTGGATCCCAGTCCCTCTGCAGAAGGTGATCAAAGCTCATCACAAACCCAGCAGGGTGCAACCATAAACCGTGCCTTTTGTGGAGCCAGCCAACGCAAAGTGATTTCCTGGCATGAGCATCATTTAATACGTCTTGAGGAAAGTCATCTACCCTGCCTTCCACAGCACCGACTGCAGGAGATTCAGACACTGTGTGCATCAACGCAATGGAAAAGAGAGAAAAGAGGTGAAATGCATAAACCCAGGGGGTAATGGGGTGAGGGAGGGAGATACACTGTGCTCCTGGGGAGGGTGACACTCTCCAGGGACCGCTGGGATCTTTGCATCGAGGCTGTGCTGCTCCTCAGGGCTGTCCTCCTGCCTTGAATCCAGCACAATCCACCACACACTGCAGTCTGCAGCACACCAAGCCTAACCTCAGCTCTCGACAGCAACAAGAATTATCACAATCGCAGGGAAAAACACATCAGATGTTTTTATTTCCTGCCCAACCACGATACCTATGTTTTTCACCCAGAGAGTGGTGATGTACTGGCACAGGTTGCCCAAGGAGGCTGTGGATGCCCCATCCTTGGAGGCATTCAAGGCCAGGCTGGATGTGGCTCTGGGCAGCCTGGTCTGCTGGTTGGTGACCCTGCACACAGCAGGGGTTGGAGTTGGATGATCATTTTCAACCCTGGCTGTTCTATGATTCTACGTTTGCTTACTGGGCCACCCTATACACACCACGAGAACCCACGATGTGCTGCTCACCAGGACCTCTCCCAGCGGCACACAGGGCCACAGATCCAGGCCAGGAGCTGCCGCCCTGCTGTGCCAATGGCCATTTCCTGCCGGCACGAAGGCCACACGAGGGGAATGCCCGACCCCAGCACCGAAACCTGGGACTGGGAGAAGTCCCCGTCCATTCCCACACCGCGAGGTTTGGGTGCTTATCGTTAGATCTGATTCTATTTTTGCAAAGGATTTTACACAGCATTTCGTGCTGTTCCAGCAGTGCAGCCCCAATCCCATCACATAGCAGCACAGCGCCGTACAGCCTCGCCCCATCGCGTCCCACAGCCCCCCCCCGAGCCCGGCCCCCCCCTCGAGTCCCCCCCGTGCCACCCCCCGTGCAGGCCCACCTTATCCATCAGCTTCCAGCACTTCTCCACCATCTTTTTATCCACGGCGCCGGGCTGATGCGGCCCGAGGTGGTGGTGATGCGGCTGGAAGGCGTCCTTCATCAGCCCGATCAGCCCGCCGGGGCCCTTCTTCAACGGAGCCGACATGAGGGCAGCGCGGGGGCGGCCGACCGAGAGCCCACAGCCGCCCCCACCCTGAGCGGCACCGGGCCGCGGCCCTGCGGGGCTGACGGCCGTGAGAAGCTCCGGGCCGGGCAGGGCCGGGCGGGCGGCGACAGAGCGAGCCGCGGGCGGCGGCAGCGGCGGCGGCGGCGGCGGGGGGCGCCCGGCTCCAGCGCCGCTCCGCCCTCCGCCCCGGCCACGCCGCGCTCTGATTGGCGGGCCGTCCCCTCCGCGCGCCACGCTCCGCCCCCCCCCTCCGGGGAGGAGCCGCTGCCCATTGGCTGGCGTCAGCGCCCAGTAGGAAGGAGGCGAGCGGAGGGCCGAGCGGCAGGACACGCCTCGTCCATTTGGAGCATGCGCAGAGCGGCAGGAGGGCGGTGCGGCGGCCATGTTTAGTGCGGGCGGGGTGGGGCGGTGTTGCCATGGGAACGGGTCCCGCTGGCGGCGCGTTGCCCTCGGGCCGTTCTGCGCTGTTCTGCGGGTCTTGCACAGCAGACGATTTCCCCTTTCTAAAAACCAGCTTCCCTTTTCCCCAAATAAAGAACTGACAAGCGTTGAAAGCGGGAAGCAGGGCTGTCCTGTTCCGGCACAGAGCTTCCCCATGTCTGTGTGCCCCCAGAACCTGCTGTACCATCACCTTATAATTGCTTGTGTCTTTGTGCCGGCCAGACCTCAGCACAGCGACCGTAAGTGGGAAGGCTGCTGGCACAGGGCACAGAAGGCCGTGGCCTCTGCTCCTTCCGTGGAAGCAGAACCAAAGTGAAGCAGATCTCTGGTGCCATCCTAAGGCATCCTAAGGTGGTGTTTGGTGGCATGGTGGCATCTCCCTCTGTAACAGGGCAAGCATTGCACCAGAGCGTGGGAGCAGGGAGAGCAGGGAGAGGAAAGCAGGCCATGCCGTGTGCATGTCTGTATTTTGACACAGCTGACAGCAGCAGGCCTTTGGAAATTACAGCGTGAGCCCGAAAGTGACCTCAGTTCTATTTCCGTGCCACCTTCAGATCCTCTTTTCAGCTCCCTTTCCAGCCAGAACGCTTCCTCTGTGACAAGCAGGGCTGCTGCAAACCTGCGTCAGCATCACGGTGTGGGCTGCAAGGGGAAGAGAGACTGCAGCAATGCTTTGACACCCCTGGCCTGCAGGCTGCCAACCAGCTTGTGCAGGGCCCTGGATGAGCAGGGCGGTGTGAAGCAGCACGCAGCACCGGCTGGGAGCCCTGTGTCGAATGGTTCTAAAGCTCTCTGTCTTGATTTTACTGCCTTTCGTAGAGCTCAGTATATATTTCTGGGACAGGCAGCTCCTTGTCTGGCTTTAATTACCTGGGCAAATTTTCTTAAGGATTATATTGACCTCAAATATGTCAACGTTTATTGAGGCCGTGTTCCTGAGGCTTTTCCCATTAGATGTTAATGGATTCTGGCTAATAGTCAAGCCGGATTGACCACCGGAGGGTGCCCTGGCCAGCTCCAGGATACCACAAGTACCTGGGGAAAGGGATGGGGAGGGTTCCACTGGCTTTGCGGAGCCAAAGAGAAAAATCACCATGGCCTCGATCCAAAGAGATCAGAGAGCGTGCTGGAGCAATTGCACTCCTGACCATCTGCTGCTGCTCTGGGCATGCCTCACCCCTAGTCATGGCTGTGTTCATGTGCAAGGCTTCAAGGAAAGGTTGCTGTCCCCTCCCTGCAGAAGGGGCTGTGGCATTCAAGTTGGATTTTAGAAAACAATTATGCTCAGAAAGAGCGGTCAGGCATTGGAACAGGCTGCCCAGGGAAGTGGTGGGGTCACCATCCCTAGAGGTGTCCCAGAACGGTGGAGATGCAGCACTTGGGTACACGGCTCAGTGGGCACAGTGGAGATGGGCTTATGGTTAGATCTGCTGAGCTTACTGGTCTTTTCCAACACTAATGACTCTGTGATTCTATCCCTATGCAGAGCCTCTGCCAGCTCACTGCTCCTGCTGCCCTGCCCATACAGCAAGGTTTAGGTTCCACTGAGCAAATCTCACCTATATGCTCCCAGGTGTTTCGGGTGAATCACATCCTGAGCAGAAATAACTGTTTGAAATCCCCTCCCTTCCTCCCCGGCCTGTTTTATAAAGAGGCTCCAAATCCAGCCACAGTCCCCAGGGCAAAAATCACTGCAGCAAGCAGGAGAGCAAGCAGGAGGGTGTGCCAGAGAGGAGAGGCAGGGCAGGAAGGGAGGAAGATGCTGGGCTTGTCTCAGGCTGTGACCTGGGGGCATCATCTTTCCCACTCCATCCCTGCAGTGGCAGGGCTGCTGCAGGACCACAGCTCACATAGGGCAGAATCCACCCAAACTTGTGGGAGCCACATCCTGCAGCCAAACCCAGCCAGCTGAGTTCTGACAGTGGGGCTGGCTTTAGACCACTCCAGCACTGCTGTGCTGGGTGTGTGTGGCCCATGCCTGTGTCACAGGAGAGAAATGCTCAGCTGCTGCAAAGCGGAGGCGGGTGCGGGGCCAGGCAACCTGCCCTCGCTGTGCACACAGTTGCTACAACAACAGCTTGGCTCGGAGGCAGCTGCTGTGTCCTGAGGGATTGAGCTCTGTGCTCCCAGCTTTGCCAGAAGGATGCCTCCAAAGGGCAAAGGGAAGAGGAAAAAAGGAGCGAAGCAACACAAAAAGGGAAATGCAGCAGGTGAGTCTGGGGACTTGCAGACTAACGCCAGCTGGGACGTGCCCCTCTTCTCTGTCCCCTGATACCTCCCTATGTGCCTGATTAGAAACAGGAGGCAGCGGGGTCTGGGCTCTGCTCAAGCATCCTGCATCCTACCGCACCCTGCAGCTCAGTGGGACCTGGGTGGGGGGTCAAACACAGTGGCTCCTCCAGGCCCCAGCTCCTCCTACAGAGCTCCAACTGGAGGTGTGTACTGGAGGAACACAGGTAGGGGTTTGGAAGGATCCCCGAACCTCTGTGTGCTAAGGACCCCAGCTACTTCCCAATCTTCACCGTGAAATCTCCGCTTTCAATCCCAACCTGACATGCACCTCTCCAGGAAGCTGCTTCAAGTAAAACTGGCTACATCCCGATCCTTTGCACAGATACAGCCCTGGCATTAGTGTTTCAGCTGGAGGCATGTCCCAGCCAAGTTTTCCTGGGTTGAACATCTCCAGGCAGGCTGCCCCCAGGCCATCTGACAGCTCCCAGTATCCCTGGGCCAAGCCCCACCAACCAGCTAATTCTGACTCCGTCCCTTCTTCCTCCCCTCTGGCAGCAGAAAGCCAAGCTGCAGCCACATCCAGGAGAGCAGTGCTGGAGGCTGACAGGCTGCAAGAGCACCCAGGTAAGATGGGGAGGAGCCAGGAGCATGCTTGCAAGCAAGGAAAAGCTAGGAAAGATGCAGTGTTGGACCAAAGCGCTGGGCAGGGCATCTCGCCCTATGGTTTGAATACAGCCACGGGCTCCAGTGTGCTCCAAGGGCTGGATCCCAGTGGGTCACCCCAGCAGCACGCTGCCCCCACAGCAGCCCTCTGTCTCGCAGCTCACTGGAGGGATGTGGCCTGGCAGATGAGGGCTGACACTGAAGGGCTCCGGCGGAGGCTGTGGGAGCTGGAGCAGGCACTGGAACGGGCGCAGGATGACAAGCGAGACATGCACGAAGGTAATGGACGGGGTGGGAAGGGGCAGGTGCAGGAATCCCACATCTCAATGCCAGCCAGGGATGCCAGCCAAGCTCACCCCACCTCTCCCATCATCCTGTTCTGCTCAGCCCCAAAGCACCCATGCCACTGGCATGCTGAGGCTGTGCACTCGCTGCACCCCAACTGCTGTCCTTAGACCAGACCACAGCCTGCAGAAGTCACTGCCTCACCGCTTCCTTCAGCGTTTGAGAAGGAGATGGTTTTAGCAGAGGTAAAACCTCAGCCAGAGGTTTGCGGTCTTTGCCACATGCAAAACTCCGTGCTCATTTTCACTCTCCCACGCTCAGCAGAGGTTGAACTAACTTTCTACCCCCCTCCCCAGGGCTCCCTCCTGCCCCTACCACAGCCCAGCAGGACAAGGAGAGGGGGCATGGCCACTCCAGGTGCACAGCCTGCAAGAGAAACCTTGGCCACAGGTTCTGGGCTCCTAGCACAGGGATTGCCTGCTTGTCCCTCCTATTGTCATCACTTGTCCCTTTCTCCTCTCCTTGGTTCCCAGAAATGACCCGGCAATACCAGGAGCTGCAGAAGCAGACAGCAGCACACAGCCAGCGCCTGGAAGCAAAAGTGAAAAGCCTGCAGGAACAGCTGGGTATGGCCTTGCCTGCGTGGGATGGGAGTGGGTTTGTTCACTCCAGGGCAGGAAAGCATTCATTTGGGGGAGCAAGGGGAAACAGGAGATATTCACCTTGTGCTGCTGTCTGCCAAACAGCAGCTGAAGGCAAAGCTCAGTCCCAGCGCATCCCTGAGCTTGGGATACTGAAAGCAAAGGGGATGCTGTGCTCCCACCCCATCCCAAACCCTGGGGTGGGGGCTGTGCCGCACTCTCCATGCCCACACAGTGTCCCCTGCCTTTGTCCACAACACCCCACAGCCACCAGGCTGCAGGAAACCCAGCACACCCAGCAGGCTGCCACCAAAGCACTTGCAGAGAGGGACAGGACCATCGCCCAGCTGCAGGGCAGAATGGACATCATGCAGAGGGAGTATGAGAAGATCTTCCACGTGAGCAGGGATGCGGCTGCGGGTGGCTCCCTTCAGCACAGTCCCCCCTCCTCACCGCCCTCTCCCCCAACTAGGACAGCCTGGACCTTGTGCTGGCCAAGATGGCAGAGACCAGGCAGCACTGGGAGGAGGAAGGCACAACCATCTGCCTGGAGCACAAGCAGCACCTGCAGGAGTTCGGCCTCAACCCCCTGGAGATGTAGCACTCAGGGACCCCCCACAGGAGAGGACAGGCTCTCAGCCTCTATCAGCACAGCTGCCCCGGGGTTCTGTCTGTCCCTGGGATATGCTGCTGGATGACAGACCCCCAGCACACCACTCACGTGAACGGCAGCGTGGATTTGTCCTTTAATCACTCTCCAAAGCAGCGACATGGGAACAGTGCTGTGATGAGGGCAGGTACCACCCAGCAGTTTGCAGAGGAGGAGCACGAGGGAGCACGAGTCCATGCAGGGCAGACCTGAGCCCAGATGAGAGCTGGGGGGTTCCTTCAGCACCCTTTTCCCCTTAGCCCAAAGTCCAGCCCCCTGGGTCATGGCACGGAGGGCAGTGCCTTGGCTCTCCTGGGGGCAATCCAGAGCCTGGAGCTGAGCATTATGTCCCCAGATATCCCTGGAGGTGTGGGAGTGTCTTCAGATTACTGCTACATTCAATAAAAGCTTGAGGCCAACCTTGGCCAGTAGAAATGAGTCTCTGGTAGGTGTGATGCTGGAAGTTCTACCCCAGGAACACAGATGCAGTGCTGTTCATAATGACAATCATTGTGTTCTCTGGGTATATCAGCAGTGCTGCATGGGATCCTGGCTGGAAGCAGGGTGCTCCAGGCTGCTAGAATGCATGGCGCAGCTGCCTCTGCTCTCTGCATGGGCTCTGCAGGGACACAGCAGGGACAGGTAGGCAGCACACTGCCACCAGCCCCGTGGTGCCAGGAGTTCAGCACAGAGGGCACAGGGTAGGAGGATGCCAGACTCAGAGCAACGCAGTGAAAATTTTTTACCTGTGTGATGGTTATGCTGTTGGCAGCAGTCATCAGCCAGGAGCCAGGTCCCTTTGGTCCCACATCGATGTGACAGAGCCCAGGGGAGTCGCTGGGAGAGGGCAGGGAGGACGTGCAGGAGCCCAAGGCAGGGTCACCGTCATCGAGGAACAACAGAGGAGACAGCCCTATCTGCAAGAGCATCACGGTTGAGCCATGCAAACCCTGGAGCTCCTTGGCAAGCTGGAGGTCTTGGAGAGGACCTCACTATGCAGGTCTGGGGGTGAGGAATCCACCTTGCAGGCTGTGCGATCCGCAGCACGTACCGAGCGGTAGAACGCATCGCTGGCAGGGTCGATGACCAGCAGTGTCACCTGCTCCTTGTGGGCACGGATCCTCAGCACCGTCTCCTGGTGGTCCAAGCCCTCGATGCTCTCACCATTCACAGCCAGGACCCGGTCCCCTTCCTTCATCCCTGCCTGCTCAGCCGGCAGCCCCGCGTCTATGTCCCATAGGAACTGGCCTGCGGGGATGAGGGAGGAGGGATGCTCACCAAGGCATTCAGAGGGCATCCCAGCACTGCTGCCCCTGAGCGCGGGTGGGATCAGCTCCCTTAATCAGCTCCCTTACCTACGGCCCCCGAGCCGTAGTCATCCTCCTTGAGCAAGAACCCATAGCCAGCGTCCCCTTTCACCATGTGCAGCTCCCGAGCCTTGAAGGGCAGCCAGGAGGTGTCTGCCAGGGCAGCTGTCACCTGCAGCCCCCGCAGGCGGTAGAACTCCTCCACCGGGCCGGATGCCACCAGCAGTGTCACCTTGCTGCCGCTTTGCTTCAGCTGGAGGAAACACGCATGATGCTCAGCACCACGACCAGCCTCAGCCCTGTGCCCAGCACCAGAGCACACACACACACACACCTTTCGGGCCAGCTGGGTGTGCGAGCAGCTCCTGACGCTGTGCCCATTCAGCTCCAGGAGCCAGGAGCCTGATGGCACTCCAGCTCTCTCCGCCGGCCCATCCTGCCGCACTGACAGCTGGAACGTGCCCTTGACGCCTACAAGAGGAGCAGGCTGCAGCATGCGAGGCGATGCTCCAAGTGGGGTGATGCTGCAGGCTGCCAGTGCCAGCTGCTTCCCTACCTTCTGGCCCCGACACGCTGAAACCAAAACCGCTTTTGTCCCGTGTGATGTGGCAAAGGCGCGGGCGGATGTCAGCGGGCAGCATTTGGGACAGATCTCTGCCCAACGCTTTGGCTGCTTCGTAGGAGTCGCCATCCAGCACTGCCAGCAGGACCTGGTTCCCGCTGGCCTTGATCTTCTGCACCACCTGCAAGGGACCAGGCTGCAGACCCCGAGCATGGTTCTCCTCCAGTGAGGCCAGCATCCTGCACTCCCTCTGTGCCCAGCTGGGGGTACCTGGGTGTTCCCACATTGCCAGGATGCTCGTGGCTTACCCGGTGGTGCTCCATGTGGTCCACGAAGAGGCCGTTGACCTGGAGGAGCCGATCCCCATCCTGCAGCCCCCGGCGCTGGGCCAGCCCCCCCAGCTCGACCTGCCGGATGACGTGGCCCTGGCAGCCCAGCTCCTCATGCAGGCAGAAGCCGAAGGTCTCTGTGCTGCCCTTGCTCAGCAAGTAGAAGCGGGGTTCCCCCATGGCCTCGCCATCTGCGTGGGGACACGGCCCATGAACAGGACAGCAGAGATGCTAACAGGGCCATGGTCTCCCTGTTCCTCTGTTGTAGGCATTCACCTCCCTGCAATGCCCACAGGTGACCAGAGCTGCCTGACCCCACGCTGATGGGGGAAACCCACATATTTACCCATGTCCTCAGCCAGTGACAAGGCGGGGTTGTCAATCCCATCTTTGGGGTTAAATTCAAATTTTCTGCAATGATAAAGGGTAGGAGAGGCCACATTAGAGCAGCAGCCTCATCATGTTCCCCTGCCCCCCCCACAGCAGCCTAATTCCTGCTGGGGCCACAGCTGCAGTGCCTCCTCTTCCCTAGGGGAAACCACGGAGGGATGTCACTTTGGGATTGCCCCTATAACTCTCTTGTTGTGAAAAACATTCCTGGGACTGACAGCCACAGCCCACACCACCCCTGCACTGCCCAGCTGTAGGGCCGGGGGGGAGCACAGCACTTACATGATGGATGCTTTGTCGCCCTCGAGCCCTGCAGAGGGAGAGGAGAGGTCAGCGCAGAGGATAGCGAGCTGGGAGCAGAGTTGGGTGCTCAGGGCTCATCTGTTCACATGCCCTGCAGGGTCTGCGCAGCCCCTCAGGACTTTCGGGTGGAGGTGAGAAAAGTAACCAGGGCCCCAGAGACAGACAAAGCAGCATTCCCCTGCACACCTCCCTCAAAAACCCTCCAACTGCACCAAACCCTTGGAGATGGGATTCCTGCCAATGCCCCCCTTCAGCCCATCGGCATTTTCCCGGGTGCCCGCAGCTTTCTGTGGCTCTGACACTGTTTTGCCCCATGAAGAAGCAGAGCCTGGAGACATGCACACGAGGAAGGGTCTCTGTGGGATGAAGCCCTGCAGCCCCAGCACATACCTTCCGTTTGCTTCATGGCTGCAGCGAATTCGAGAGGGAGCAAGGTACAGGGTGAAGTGGCAGGGAAGCACGGCGTCCCCGCCTTCTCCAAGACGCCCCATGTTTAATGGTTAAACAGCTCCGAGTTTCCCCTGCCCTCCCAGCCCTGGCAGTGCCAGCCCTCACCCAGCAGTGCTGGGAGCTCAACCAGCACCTGGGGCTCAGGAACAGCCCCTGGGTGTCCCACGGTGGGGAAGACGGACACCAGGAAACAAAGCGGTGCACTTTAATGCCACCAAGGGTTTCACAAGCGAACTTCAGTCCAAGCCCAGCAGACAAGTCCCTTTCACACCTGGGCTTTGTGCCATATTTCAGCCTGGCCCCACATACCCAGCACCTTCAACAGCTTCGGCAGCACCCAACCGCTGGGCATCTCCGCTGTGATAAGGGTGCTGGTGAGGCGCTGCACACTCCAGCAGCTCAAAGGGTCCCATGCTGGAGCTTCCCCAGCATCTTCTTCACCTCACTCTCCACCCGTAGGAACTTGGCTTTCCTCCAGGGGTTGACCGTCTGCCTCCGGCTGCTTTCCAGGTCCTGCAGGATGATGGTCAGGTGCTGACAAACCCTTTCGCGGTCCCAGAAAGGCAGATTCTTGTGCACCACGTTCAGGATGCTGGACCAGTAATCAGAGACGTCAGTGCCTGCTGTGAGGAAGACCAGTGCCCTGACGCCGTCCCGGTCCATGCGCAGGCTGTCGAGTGCCTTCTTGCCGTCCTCACTGATGTCGTTGAAATATAAACTATGGGGTAAAAGGAGATGCTGAGGGCTGGGAGGAGGGATGTGGGGCTTTCTGCTGCAAGGAGGGATGCTGGCTCACAGCGTCCCCTGCGAGAGTGAAGGAAAGGGATGTGTCAAACTCACTGCACTTTGTCCAGCGTCGCGTGCTTTTTGGCCACCTCCACCACACGCAGGGCAGCCGTGTCCGTCAGGGAGTTGTAGCCCAGGTTGAGCTCCTGGAGCTGCTGGTTCTCAGCCAGGTGCTGGGCGATCAGCTCCACACCACGGTCTCCCAGCGCAGTGTGCAGCAGGGACAGGTGGGTCAGTGAGCGGTTGCCTGCCAGCGCCTCGGCCAGGTACTGCGCCCCCTGCTCGCCTATGGGGTTGTTCCCCAGCCTGCAGGGATGTGAGCTCAGGGTGCTGCCTGCAGCATGCAGCGGGGTTTGGGGTGAGGATGGGGCAGTACTCACCGCAGGTTGCTCACTGCACACTTGTCGTGCAGGAGCAGGTCGCGGATCTCCTTGCAGTCATCAGGGCCCAGGCTGTTGAGCTGCAGACTGGTGCAGAGCAAAGGAAAGGGATGGTGGCAGGACCGAAGCGTCAGCCGTGGGGCCGTTCACCCCATCCATCCCACCACCGTCCTACGCAGGTTCCCCATACAAGGTCACCCAAGGCTCCCTCTCCACAAGCGAGCTCACAGCAGCCACCCCAGTGAACGGGTAGCATCAGCCAGCAGAGCCAGCACCAGCAAAAGTGAGGGAGAGGAGGGGGATCCGGGTGCCGCCGGGGGGGCTGAGGGTCTCAGGAGGGAGCAGGACCCCACTGAGCCCTCCAGAGCATCCGCAGGAAGGAAGCACCGCACAGCCCAGCCGCAAAGCTGCGTCCATCTCTGCCGAGCACGGCTCGCCACCCCCTGGGCAATGAGCAGACTGCAGGTCTACAAATCGGACCAAGACAATCTGGGCTGCGTATCTCCTGCCCCGAGCGAGCCACGAAGCGATGCTATGCGGCTCCGGGTGCTGAGCAAGGGCAGGGAGCCGCATTCCAGCCTGCTGTGCCAGGCGCAGACCGCTGCCCTACGGAGGGGGCGGAGGGACTACAAGTCCCAGCGTGCAGTGCCTGAGCAGAGCTGCTGGTGGAGCACCGCATGTCGCATGTCGGAAGCTGTAGTCCCTCCCCGTGATACGCTCTGAATGTAAACAAAGGCATGGCCTGCCTTAAAGGTGGCTCCTTGCATGGGCACAGCGCCCGGGGGCAGCAGCAGGCGGTACTCACTGGAGAAACTTGCACCGCAGCAGGACGGGGAAAAGAGTCCTCAAGCTGCCGGTGTCAAGGTTGCAGGAGGTCAGATTCAGCTCCTCCACCTCGT